TCTTTCTTTTTTTTTTTTTTTGCGGTACGCGGGCCTCTCACTGTTGTGGCCTCTCCCGTTGCGGAGCACAGGCTCCGGATGCGCAGGCTCAGCGGCCATGGCTCACGGGCCCAGCCGCTCCGCGGTACGTGGGATCCTCCCGGACAGAGGCACGAACCCGTGTCCCCTGCATCGGCAGGCGGACTCTCAAGCACTGCGCCACCAGGGAAGCCCTGTTGTATTTTCTATAATGAAAATCTGTTAAATAAATTAATTGTGTAGACAAGACTATTGAGTGGAGAGGCTGTATTCAACCCCTTTAGAGGCAACAATTTACATACAATATGTAAACACTTGATATGCTAAATATAAGCACTAAATCAGTATGCTGATGACAAAAATTTTTATCTGTTTGCTAAAATTGGTTTCCTGGGCAACGCATCACTAGTCCAATTACAGATGCTATTATATATATTCTTGAAAGCATGAAAATGTGTTTTGCTTTAGATCGAAATATTCCTGCTCTTCTCTAAATGAATATGCTGCTCTTACTTCAATGTACTTATTGAGTTTGACTATTTCTAAAGTAATAGAAGTCTGGTCTAACCATGTCATTTTATGAGTTAGTACACTGAGGCTCAAGAGCTTCCATGATGGAAGTATACATCATCTTGTGACAATCAGCCTACTGTCATAGACGTGAGCAGTTTCTTTCATAAGTACAAAGAAGGTTCAAAGTCATTAGCACTTTCCTGCTGCTGCTGCCACTGTAAGCTACTACTTCTGCCATCTATTCCTCCCCCATCTATTTGGTTGGTATGGTCAATTGGCACCTGGCATGCATTTCAACCTCCTTCTCATGTGTATGCTGGGCTAAAAAGCTAAAAACTACAGGGGCTAAAAAGCTAAAAACTACATTCCCCAGTGGAAGTGAGGTAGAAGGCATCTTCCTGATGCTTCAGTGTTACCGCTGACAAGCACAATCCTGAAGACGAGAGGTTTATGCATCCATGATCTGGGGTCTAGTCAGCCTGGTGGGTGTCAAGAGGCTGTAGCCATGGAAACTAGATTTTAGCTATGCATCTGTAACAGGGAAGAGCTAAATCAGACTCCATGTTGGATCTGTTTCTTTGACTTTAACCTTTGTTTTGTTTTGTTTTTAAAATTTATTTAATTTTGGCTGTGTTGCGTCTTTGTTGCTGGGCACGGGCTTTCCCTAGTTGCGGAGAGCGGGGGCTACTCTTCGCTGCCGTGTGCGGGCTTCTCATTGCGGTGGCTTCTCTTGTTGTGGAGCACGGGCTCTAGGCACGCGGGCTTCAGTAGTTGTGGCACACGGGCTCAGTAGTTGTGGCTCGCGGGCTCTAGAGCGCAGGCTCAGTAGGTGTGGTGCACGGGCTTAGTTGCTCCACGACATGTGGGATCTTCCCGGACCAGGGCTCAAACCTGTGTGCCCTGTATTGGCAGGTGGATTCTTAACCACTGCCAGGGAAGTCTCTAACCTTTGCTTTTCGTTGCTTTTGTTATTGTAATCATACATAATGGCCTGCCTCTGGGAACCCTGCCCACCTGTGAGTGGCTGCAAGAAAAAAAGAAACTAACACATCCCCTCATCAAGGCTGGTGATTCCAGGAGATGTTTTGCAAGACTGATGGACCTTTTCCTTTACTTCCTCACTGCCTCTCCCTCTCTGATTCTATAAAAGAAACTGGCATCCAGACCCAGATAAGATGGTTTTTCAGAGACACTAGTCTGTCATCTTCTCAGTCGGCCGGCTTTCCGAATAAAGTCGTATTCCTTGCCTCATCACCTCGTCTCCGATTCATTGACCTGTCGTGCGGCGAGCAGAGCGAGCTTGGACTCGGTAACACATCCAATCATTATAGTAGCAACTCCTGCTTTTCATCTTCTCCTTCACTGCATTATGCACTTTTCCCCCAGGAAAAAGTGGCCACTAGGACTTCCTCTCTCCCCACTTTAGCTACTCTGGGCTGCTCTAGGACAGCTGGAGGATCCAGGACTCTATGTCCACCTTGCCCCTTGCAGTCCCTGTAAATGAAAGCTGGTGGGGAGCCCTGGGAGTTTTAATTCTTTTCTTGCAAAAACAAACAAACTTATCATTTCTGGAGAAAAAAAAAATCTTCCTCATAGTATCAATTTGGACAGACAGCATAGGAAAAAACTATGCAGGCACTTGAAAACTTTTGTACTTGATCTGTAAGAAACGAGGAGCAATTAAATGCTTTTAGCGTGATGACAGTGGTGTTTTAGAAAGATAAGTCTAACAAGAATTAAAGGAGAAGAAGGTGGAATCAGGTAAGCTATCTAGCAGGCTATTTTCATAGAGATTTCGTTCATTTGACAGACACTTATCAAGTTGTTATTATTCCCCAGGCTTTGCACCAGATGCTGAGGATACAGTTGAAGCAAGACTGACTCTGCCTTAGTGAAGTTTATAGTAATTAAGTGAGAAATGACAATCCAGCATAGTAAGTGCTAAATAGAGGATACTCTGAAAACACAACAAAGACAAGTAGAAAAAGCACCATTTAAGCTGACATCTGAAGGATGAGTCAGGAGTGACTCCACCGAAGGATGAGGCGAAGTGGCGGGAAGAACCATCCAGGCAGATTGAAAAGCACATTCAAAGGCTCAGAGGTGAGGGAAGAGAGCTTCTTTGAGGAACTGGAAGAAGTTCGGTATGTCTAGAGCCTCTGAGTTGGAGGGTAGGGAAGAGGAGGGGGAAATGGGGAAATATGAGATTGGAGAGAGAGAATGAAGCCTTGAAGGGCTTTCCAAGCCTGTTAAGAGGTTCAGGATTTCTCTAGGGAGCAACAGGCAGCTACTTAAGCAGAGCAGGGACATGATTACTTTTGCACTGTAGAAATTCATTCTGGTTGTCATATGGAACATGGATCACAGGGGAGGAAACTGGAAGTTGAAAGACCAGCTGGGAGGTTGCTGCCCTAGGCCAGGAGCAAGACAACCATGGCCTAGATTAGGGCAGTGGCAGATGGCTGTGGAATGGACCCAAAACCCTTTTCAAAGAGGGATCTTCAAGACATCCCTTTGTACAGTTTCTCTAAAAAAAATAATTTTAATTTTTCAAATTGCATACATAGAATTGTGGGCTTTGATACATCTCTCACTTGGCCATGTTGGAATGGCCTAACCACTGGACACTATTAACAGGCACCACCATACATTCAACGGCAGCTGCTAGAATGAATGGCTTAGGGCCACAGAGACTATAACCAATTCCTATAGGTAGTCGTGCAAAATTAAATCGATTTTGTGATGCCAAATGTCTTTCTCGGTTCTCCAACTGAATTCTTAGTTTCTAGAAGGCAAGGCTTGTGGTATGAGATGACCCTGGAGAGGAAGGAAGGGGTCAGCTCCTAGGGCCTTGTAAAACCCAGTAAGCACTTTTGTCTTTATCTGAAGAACAGTGGGAAACCGTGGAGGGATTCTAGGTAGGGAGTTGACAGAATCAGACATGCCTTTTTTTTCACATTAAAAAAAAACTTTTTAAACTTAAAAATTCCACTTACTCAAAGGTATAGAGAATAAGTATAAGAAACCGGCAGAAAACCATCATTCCAGTTTTAACAGCTATTACCATTTACCACACTTGATTCATCTATCCCTTTTTTCCTTCTCTCTCTCCTTTTACTTTTCATTTTCTTTTTGTTGTTTAGTTTTAATTTCATAATCATAAACTAAACTTTGCAATCCAGTTAAACTTGGAGGGGGATAAGGAAAATATGGAACTGAAAGAACTGCAGTGAGAGTGTTACCGAGCCCAGGTCCGGCTGCTCGCCGCTTGAAAGCCAATTCTCAAGAGACAAGTGTTGGTAGGAAAGGAAAGTTTGCTTTATTTCGGAGTCTGGCAACTGGGGGTGGGGGGGGGGCGGGGGGTGCACACCTGTCCAAAGGCCGACTGCCCCCCTGACAATCAGGGGACAAGAGCTTTTATAGACAGAGAGAGGGGGCTACCTGCAGAAACAATACAGTCAGCTCTGACAGTCATCTTGAAACTGGTCGTCAGTGGTCTGACCAGCATCATCTCGATTGTTTTAGGTACAGTGTTGTAGTTTATCTTATGACAGGGCCGAAAGTAAGCTCGTCACACGAGATGAATTGTGCCGAAGCACAGCAGTAGAGGGCTGCCGCTCGCTCAGGCAAAACAGCGCCGTCTGTCCTGCTGTGGTAGCTTTTATTAAAGCATTATCTAGGTTTACACTTTAAGACTTGTTTTCTTAACATTTCAGAAATGCCAAAGCAGCAACTATGTTTTTATTGATTATACAAGCAATAATTGGCTTTCTTGAGCACCTGCCGTGCTTCGTCCTTGAGCGCAAAAGCAGCACAAAGTTCCCACCATTATTCTGATTATACTGAAGTAGCACAAGGACATTTCCTTGTGTTCCCACCATTCTGATTATACTGAGGACATCTCATGGATCAGTGCCCAAAGCACTCAATGCTTCTTTGCAGGCTCCCGGTTTGCCGGGGGGTGAGGGGGGCTCAAAGCAATCAGGACTGTTTGCAGTTCTGGCTTATTCGCCAGCCCCCAGTTTGCTGGGGGTGGGCTCATGGGTCACGTCTCCTTTCCATGTCCTCAGTTATTCCACTACAGTACAGTTAATCTTCAGTTCCAGGATCGGTTTGTTTCCATTTCTTTGAGGCCAGTAAGAATTGTGGCAGCTTATGTCATGGCTACAGCCTGGTGGGGGTCTTCCACCTGGTGGGGGTCTCAGTATCTATAAGGCAGCTCACAGGATACTGCTCAGAACATGATCTATAGCCCTTAAGGAGGAACTAAACGTCCTTGACATTGCTTAATGACTAAACTATTATTATTTGGTCTCCTTTGACGGTTTTCCTTTGTTTCTGCATTTTCTCACTTCTCTGATGAAACTTATTCTTTGGCTAAAGTTTTTCACAGACAAAAGGCAGGCTGAGGACATGGAGGGGGGGCGGCAAGGACCATAGGGTCCTGCTCCTTTTCAAGAGCACAAAGATTATAGGATATTTTGAGCAGATGAGGTTGAAGGGGTGCTCTCCTGAGCTACAGAAGGAATGGTCTGGTGGTTAAGATAAAACACAAGTCAAATTTATTAGATTTGTCCACAGTCAGCAATGGTGATCTTCTTGCTGGTCTTGCAATTTCTGGACCCAGAGCACTCCATGGCTTCCACAATATTCATGTGCTCCTTTACCTTGCCAAAGACCACATGCTTGCCATCCAACCACTCAGTCTTGGCAGTGCAGATGAAAAACTGGGAACCATTTGTGTTGGGGCCAGCATTTGCCATGGACAAGATGCCAGGACTCGTATGCTTCAGGAGGAAATTCTCATCATCAAATTTCTCCCCATAGATGGACTTGCCACCAGTGCCATTATGGCATCTGAAGTCACCACCCTGGCACATAAATCCCGGAATTATTCTGTGAAAACGGGAACCTTTATAACCAAATCCTTTCTCCTCAGTGCTCAGAGCATGGAAGTTCTCTTCTGTCTTTGGAAATTTGTCTGCAAACAGCTCCAAGGAGATGCGGCCCAAGGGCTTGCCATCCATAGCGATGTTGAAGAACACGGTGGGGTTGACCATGACTGGGCGGCGCAGGAGGCTCAGGGGCAGCAGTGTCTGCAAGGCGTCTCTCTCTCTCACTTTTTAAAATTGAAATATTTAAAAATAAATCCCATACGTTATGACATTTTACCTCTGAAAACTTCAGTGTGCATATCTAATAAATAAGAACAATTTCTCGGGACCTCCCTGGTGGCACAGTGGTTAAGACTCCGCCTGCCAATGAAGGGAACATGGGTTCAAGCCCTGGTCCGGGAAGATCCCACAGGCCGTGGAGCAACTAAGCCCGTGCGCCACAACTACTGAGCCTGCGCTCTAGAGCCTGTGAGCCACAACTACTGAAGTCCTCACACCTGGAGCCCGTGCTCCGCAACGAGAAGCCACCGCAGTGAGAAGCCCACACACCGCAACAAAGAGTAGCCCCCGTTCGCCGCAACTAGAGAAAGGCCGCACACAGCAGTGGAGACCCAACACAGCCAAAAATAAATAAATAAATAAAAGGAAACTGTCAAACTGTTTGCCAAAGTCATACATCTCCATCATTTGTATATAAGAATTTTTCAAAAAATAAACCACAATTTCTCAAGTAACCACAATACCATTATCACATCTAATAAAATTAACAATAATTCCTTAACATCATCTAATACCTACTCTATATTCCTCAATAGTCTAAAAAAAATGCCTTTTGTTACCGTTGGTTTTTTGGAATTAGGATCTAAATAAGGTCCACACATTGTGTTCATTAGGCCTTTTATTATTTTTTTAAATTTATCTAATTTATTATTTTATTTTATTTATTTATTTTGGCTGCGTTGGGTCTCCGTTGCTGTGCGCGGGCTTTTCTCTGGTTGCTGCGAGCGGGGGCTACTCTTCGTTGTGGTGCGTGGGCTTCTCATTGAGGTGGCTTCTCTTATTGAGGAGCATGGGCTCTAGGCATGCGGGCTTCAGTGATTGTGGCACGTGGGCTTCAGTAGTTGTGGCTCACGGGCTCTAGAGCACAGGTTCAGTAGTTGTGGCACATGGGCTTAGTTGCTCTACCGCATGTGGGATCTTCCCGGACCAGGGCTCAAACCCGTGTCCCCTGCGCTGGCAGGTGGATTCTTAACCACTGCACCACCAGGGAAGCCCTATTAAGCCTTTTAAATCTCTTTTACTTTACAACAGTCTTCGCTCCCTCTTTTTGTTTCATGCCTTGACTTTTGGAGGAAACCAGGTGAGTTGTCTCATGGAATATTTAACCCTCTGAATTAGTCTGGTTACTTCCTCATTATGTGTTTAATTTTTTCCTCTATCCCTCATATTTCCTCTAAAGTAGAAGTTAGATCTAAAGGCTCGATTGGATTAAGGCTCAATGGTTTGGAGAACACAGCATTTCATAGGCAATTCTATGTACTTCATCTTGATCACATCAAGAGGCATAAAATGTCTGTCATCCCTCTTTTAGACTGAACACTGGGTTCAGGTGATGACAGTCTGATCCATCCATTGTAAAGATGCTTGTCCTTTACAGTGAGTGATCAATGACGTGATACTTTGGTCTCCTGATATCGTCTAGTTCCACGGCCGCCTTTCCTGTAATGGTTTTATCACCCCTTGATGATAATTATCTGTATCAGTTATTTCATTAGGCATGTCAAAAGTGGAGATTTTATAATTCTGTCATTCCTCTTGTGCTTATTAGTTGTAATTCTTCTGTGGGGAACTTTTTTCCATCAATCAGGACTATTTGGCAATCCTAAAACAGGATTATTATTCTTAATAAAGACTAATCCTTTCCCCTTCATTACCAGTTTTCAAAGCAAGGTGTTGATGACCGAGCTACTTCCAATGGCAACTAGTAAGTCTATTTGTTTGTTTTGGCTTTCTCTTTTCATATTATCAATTCGAACTCATGGATTTTATACACTCAATGTGTTTTAATCCATTCTATCATTATGTTTTATGCCCAAATTGTCTCCTTTTAGGCCAATGGGGACCACTCAAGGTGGTTCCTGCTTTTTTTTTTTTTTCTTCCTGTTTCCTTCTGACAGACTTCTTAGTCTTTGATAGCTTTCTTGCTACCTGGCAGGAAAAGGGTTATCTCATGCATTTCATGCCGCTGACCAGGAATCAGCCATTTCTCCATGGAGTCCTGGTTCCTTTTAATGGAGAGTGGCATTTAAAGACCAGAGTCTGAGTGGTAAGAGTAGATTTGCTTTTGAGTAGATCACTTAGACTACATTGAGAAGAACAGGAATCTAGGAGGACAGAGTGGATATATGGGGACCAGCTAGGAAGCTATTGCAGTAGCCAAGGTCAGATGACTTGGATGAGGGAGGTAGTGCTGGAGATAGAGTGAAGTGGATGGACTTAAAAACTATTAAGGAGGTGCAATTGACAAGGCTTAGTGAAGGATTGGAAATGATGGATGACAGAGAGGGAGACACCAAGGTTGACTCGTAGCTTTCTGGTTGATTGATTCTGGGAATCAATTGATAGACTTGATACTCAGAGCACTGGTAGGATCAATTGATTCTTTCAACTCCAATTGAAAAAATAAAAATGGTAGATTGATATTTTCACGGAGAAAAAAGAATGTTGGAGAAGACCCGGTACGTGTGGGAAGATCATAAATTCAGTTTAAGGCCAGATGAGTTTGAAGAGCCTTTGAGTCATGCAAGAGATGTCAAGTAGAAGGTGAGTACAGATGTCTGGCACTCACAAGAGAGGCCTGGAATGAGCATAAAAATGTGTGTGTAAGTCATCTATGCATAAGTGGTAATCTTTTTTCTTAAACTCTGGTTCTTTATATATTATGGAAATTAATTATGTGACTGTAATTTGTGTTACAAATATTTTGTACTAGTCTACAGTCTGTCTTTAAACCTTTAGTGTCTTTTAAAATGGGACAGAAGGTTTAGTTATTACTTAGTCAAAATTATGAATATTTCCCTTGATGGTTTGTGAACTCTTTTCTTCCTTAGGATGAACAACTCTGCATCAGGTTTACAAACATGTTCCCATATGTATACTTTTACTGTTTTCAGAGATTTTAATTTTTACAGTTACACCCTCAATCCATCTGGAATTCCTTTTTGTTTATCGTGTGGAGTAGAAGTCCTTTTTTCCCCCAATGGATAGCTAATCATTCCAACACTTCTGACCAGGCTGTCCTTTGAAATACCACCTTTATCGTAGGCTAACTTTTCACATATATGAGTCTATTTCCAAACTCCTTATCCTGTTTCATTGATTTGGTTTCTTCATCAGTACCTTATTGTAGAGAACATTTTGATATCTGGTGAAGTGTTATCTCTAGTTGGGTATTATTAAGTTCTAGTTCTGAGATTTAACCCTCTTCTTTTGTTAAAGAATCCGCAAGGTCCGTTCTCTGCTTGCATTTGTCATTACAAAATCTCATTGTGCACATTATAGTTCCCAGGTTTACTGGAAATTTTCCTTTATATTTTAGGTTGAGAAAGGATTATAATCTTAGCATCAGTCTTTCTTAAATCACACCACACTGGTGTATCCTGGGATACTTTCTGTCAGCCAACCCTCCCCATGGGGTCTAGATTCTGGTGAATTTCTAATAGTATTCATTTCTTTTTGATCTTGGGTCTATGTTTAGGAGTCTTTCTATGTTAATTTTGATTGCTCTCTAGCCACCCATTAAGTACCTCCTTTAGACTAGGAAACTGAGTTATCTCAGCCTTTTCGTATTTAATTGAATGTCATCAAATGTTAGCTTTGCTTTTATTCTGACAGGTGGGCAAACTCTTACCATTATTAGAATTTAAGCACAAAAGAGCACAGAGGAGAATGTCTAACTTTTCAGCAACTTTTAGGTTGCTTTTAGAAAAATGTTTTTCACTGCTCCCAGACCATTAAGAAAGTATTTGTGTGAGTGAAAGTTTTGTGTGAAGCTAACTTTGTAGCTAGGAAAGGAGGGGTGGCTTGATTGCTATGGCTTGCCTAATGCATATTTTTTAACTAGAGAAATGAAATATAACATCTTTTAACTTGAAAAGAAAAAGAGCATGACATTAATCTGATCAAGGTGTGACTAGTAAACGTTTTCACTGTTCATCAAAATCCTTATCATTTAAACTATTATAAGGATTTTTTTAATGTGAAAAATACAACACAAATTAGTTATACAAATAGCCTTTGTCAGAAGGCCTTCCAGCCTGGAGTCTGCCACATGTACAGAATTTTGAAACCGATTAGACTTAAGTCCTTTTACAAAAGAGCTTAAAAAAAAAAACCACTCATCTACATCCTGATGAGACAAGTCATTTGCGTGTTCGCTGAGTGTCTCATAAAGCCCCAAACTCACCTTGCCCACCCTTACAAAACTCTATGATATATTTGTACATTTTTCCCCTCAGTCCTTTATAGGGGCTATAGCGACTTCTTTGTCTCTTGCCCGAAATTTTCTCTCCTGAAAACTCCAATTCATCTATCAAGATCCAGTTCAAATGTCACCTCCTCTGAGAAGCCTACTTTTATTTTCCCAGGCAGAATTAGTCACTTTTCTCATAGTAGACCTTCCTTACTTCTGTAGGTATCAGTTTACTTGTTTACCGGCCTTTCAAAACTCAGAGTTCCTCAGCACCAAACAATATTCCATGGTAGTTGTGCTCAATAAATGGAATGAATGAAGGAATAGTAAACGCTGAGGCTTTCTTATCTTTCTCTTCTTGATATTCCAGTCCTTATTCTTTTCCTTAATATGCTCTCAGAATTTTTTCAATAATAATAATAATGTCTTGTTTTTTATAGTGTTTTATATTTTCTCAAGTAGTCTCATCTGTTTCTTTTCAGCCTTTCAACTATCTTTGGATGGGTAGGTGGATCCCCCCCACCTCATTTTTATCGATGAGGAAACCGAGACCCAGAAATGCCAAGTGCCGTATGACTGCCCAATTAGTAAGAGAATCAGAAATGGATCCTGGGTTTTCTGATAACTAGTCTAATGTTTTTTTCCACGATATGACACTTTTTCTACAATATCTTCTATTCTCCAGAGATTTAGT